CCATAATTTCCTATCGTGTCATAGTTAAGTGATAGTTGGGCTTAGGCTCTTCGGTTCGACATTTAGTTGTTCAACGTGGTTCTTTCTCAAAGACAAGAAGAATATTTTAAAGCGTATGCGCTGTCTAATGTGATAGGTAGAATCGATATTGTGATTTTTGAAAGAACGTACCGGTGATGATACATTAAGGTGAGCAAGGGTCGAAAAGGCGAATAATTTTTAGGACGATTCGCGGATTTTGCTCAGATTGACAGGGGTGTGTCATATTTAGCTATTAATAAGATTGCAACCATGCTGGGGCGAATTGAACAGATGGTGATGGTAACACCAGCATAGGCGTGGTAGGTAAGAGTCGTCGAGTAAACGAACGGCACCGTATGCTTTTTGTTCTTCTTGTAATGTTTAGCGCGTGTAGAATTGAAAGAGAATGAATGACGTACGATGATGGAATCCTGAATGCGTGATATATATAGAGTTATCTTGTCTGCTTATATTCCGTTAAAAGTTGAAGGTGAGAGAATGAACAGTGTAATGTTATTTATTCCCATTGTTGGTAGTAGTAGACGATCGCAGTGAAGCAATTATATGTGAGTATTGATTTGAAGTTGACACGCGCGACTTCTTGATTTGATTCGAGAAACATTCGAGTGTTCCACATGCGACTTTGTATAAAATATGACTTGATTTGATAAAAATGAGGGGATAAATCACATAACCATGAAAGATAAGGGAAGAAACAAACGTTTTTATCCCATTTTATCGTGAACACTTAAAAACTGTTTATAGTATCGTGCAACACATAACGACACCAGAAAATCTATGTGTGTAAAGCATAAAAGTTTGTTTGGAAGGTACAAGAATGCAGTAACAAAAGCAACATGAAAACGAAGAAAAGGAAAAGAAAAATAACAGTTACTTATTAGAAGATGCAAATATTGGGCAAGGTTCCACATGAAAATAAATTCCGCAGAAGGAAATTAATCGCATTAATTGGTCGAATGTTGGACGATTAAAATGATGATGTGTGGTGGTGTTATATGATCGATACGAGATTTTGTCTTTCGTATGATGTATTGTGCTTTTAAAGGTTTTCTGAGTTACCAAAGATAGAGAAATATGTTGCCCATATGATAATAAGAGGGGCAAAAGAGAGAGGGAGAGAGAGTTGAAAAGCATGAAAAAGAGAAAAGTAATGTGGTCATGGAACGAGAAGAAGCACGTGGATAATGGACGATTAGTACGAAGTATGAGAAAAAAGATTTTTTGGGTTTTTAGCAAACAAACAAATGTTGATATACTGTTATTTTGAAAGAGTTTCGAAGCTCAGGAAAAGGAATATTATTAGACGTTTGTATTATAACAATGGAGGGTTTATTTCCCGGCGGCAGGCGGGGGGATTTCCTAGAGGTTAAGTCGCGAATGTTGGTTGCTGCCTGATTGGGTACTGAAAGGGTACACCTCGATTGTATCGAGTGCTTGGTTTTCGTGTTTGTACATCTGTAGATATGAGAAAAATTGAATAGATGATGAATAGACCACAGTTGTCGGTGGTAAGATTATATTCCACCTTAGAAGCAATTTTCTGGTTATCAGTTATAAATTATTACTGATCATAAAAGACACTTTATGATATATACTTTAGCTTGTTTCTTATCGCATTAAATTAATACGAAACAACTTTGAATGTTTCTAATTGTCAGTGTTTACTTGTTCATACATAGTACAAGCGTGCGTGCGCGCGCGCGCGCGCGCGTGTGTGTGTATGTTTGTATGCATGTATGAATGTATGTACAAATAGGATTATAGATATTTGAAAGCGATTTCCAATAGAAGTTAAATATGTAATTGAAACGGAGTAAATACGTGTCACAGGATTCATTCGTTCTCACGTCAAATTGTCTCGTCTTGTTTGATTGAAAGGGAAGAAAAAGAAAAAGCAAAAAAGAAAGAAGGAAAGAAGAAAAAGAATGATGCACCGGTTATACATACATATGTATGTAGGTGAGTAGTGTGAAATATCGTAAGGGAGCAAGTTAACATACGTGGTGTAGGAACACTACTCGATTAAAGTGTAATTTTATTCGAAAACCACGTCACATGCAGTATACGTGCGCATACATATGTGTGTAAAGATACGGATAATATTTTGTCGGTGAAAGCAAAATGAAAGTTTCATAGAACCGAAGAAAAAATGAAGATATTTCAAGCGCTATCGCGCACTTACACGTTTCACTTTTTTCTGTTTCTCCGTGTTACCTTTAATTCCCACTTCTTTACGTTCTTTTCTTTTTTCCCCCCTTGTTATCATAAGGTGGTTTCCTGTGCTCGCTTAATTTCTCTCTCTCGTCTTTTCTTTACTATCCAGTACTATTAACTATACTTGCAAGTTCGATACTTTAAATACTTATGGTGTACAATGCTAGTGGTATAATTTGCTCTCAACTGTTTCGATGATTGTGCTCTATATGAAGTGTATGTCTCGTTTGCTCATAAGATAGGTAAATTGTGGTCTGGTCGATTTTTGACATGTATGTAGCGCTCGTGTGGCACAAACGTTTGGAAGATGATGAACTGTTCGGGCGACACGGGTGGTATCATTAGAAATAGCTGGATGAATCGTGGATAATTTTCAAGAATCGTTGTTCCTTTTCAGTAAGTTTGAATTGTTTTTAGTTCAGTTGAGCAACACACGCGTATAAATACGCGCACACGCGCACAAAGTGTTGATAGAATTCTAACAATAAGTCTACAGTAAGCGTCTATTCAAATATTACGGGTATATCTTTTTTAGTTTGATTTTTCGTTTCGCCCCCCCCCCTCCCCCCTCCTTTTTCTTCTCCTTAAACTTTTTTTCTTTGCTGTACAATTACAATAAAGATTGTCGTTATTACGACGCAGCTTGTTCTTCGTATCGTTTGATTGATAATCGGTATCTCTCAACATTTCTGTACATGAGATTCCTCACTGTCTGGAACACCCTAATGAGTTTGGGAGACGCAAACGATTAGTTGCCGTTCGTTTCTCTGAATTGATACGTTTGCAATTGATTATTCGCAAAAAGAATTTTCAAAAATGTGTCCCGTGTCGTTTGCCTCCCATTGTGTCTCCGTCTCCGTGGTGTAAAATTGAGAGGATAAGAATAGTTACGGTACACTTTCGCTCTGATGTGTTGTGAAAGGTGCGTAGTAATAGTAGATTGTGGTCCGTGTACCTCTAAAATTAACGCGAATATCGAATAGGAAAGGATAGAGCGCGAGGTCGAGAGCACCATAGGAGGCTGACAATTTTGGACATGCTCTATTCGCTGTACTAAGATAACTGAAAAATGTTGCAGCAATAAACGTGTACATTATCATCTGGTGTATGGCGTATTGTTTTTTTCCGAAAGAACGTAAAACGCAGCAATTCTTTGTTTATTAAGATCCATTCGACGCTTCACGGTTGAAACAAGTCTATATCTTACACTATATCTCTGTTGTATAGCGTTTGACCTTGTCATTTTTATGCTACGCATTTACACGCAGTTTATTACAATATTACGATACGATTAAGTCGTGTTGTTTCCATACAAAGATCATTACTGCGTTTTCTCGCACATTATCCTTTAATCCTCTGAATCTGATTAGGACTGTTCCAGACCATACGGTGTAGTGACGCGGTGGTGGTGGTGGTGGTGGTGGTGGTGGTAGTGGTAGTGGTAGTGATGATGATGATGATGATGATGATGATGTCACAATGCTAACGTGTTAAATGTGAAATAGAGGGAGAGAGATGCGTGGAAATGGGGCTAGGGTTTGGCGAAGAGAAGGTGATGGCGCACGAGGGAAAGAACAGGCGATGGAAAGAGAATGGAGAAGAAGAATAAGATGCCATTTAATTTGCACTGTATTTGAGTGTTTGAGTGTTGCGATGGATCGATTTTGTAACAGACCTAATCAGACATGTTTCTCCTAATTCGTATATTTACTATTATCGAGTAATTATAAGATAAGATAGAAAATTGGAAAGATCTCGAATGCAGGTTGTTACAATTTATCCTATACTACTGTATGGTATCCGATACACTACACTTATCGTTGGGGTAAGTACAAGTTAGCTTCAACTTGTTTTACGTAAAGACGTATGGTGAATTAACCAAGTGTTAGTCGACTCTCGTTTTTCTCTACCCCGTCGTCGTCGTCGTCGTCCTTAATCTCGAGTGTTTAAAAGGTGTTCGAACCGCATCTATCGTTTTGTGGAAATTTACGATTGTTGCGCGAAATGGAAACGATGTTGCAAGTTACGATGATCACGTTCTATTTTTTCAGGCAAGCCCATAAATGGTAGATCAAGAATACCTCCGAAACAATGGAATCCGGGAATCGATCGCGGTGAATCGTACGACAGAATGAACTTTTTAACGGAGAACAGTCCTATTCCTACGCCGTTCGTTCGGGTTCCGGTCGAAGATCGATCGAAATACGAAAAGTTGCCGTTCAATGCTGGCGATGTATCTAGCGACAGCGACAAAGATTCATCGCAGGAACGCATGAAGCAGAAGAGAAGAAGGATTAAAAGTGTGTTACATAGAAAGAGAAAAACGCAAAATATGAAGAAAGCAGCGGTGGAATGCAACATATCGACCAACGATAGTCGATACAATAGCGGTACTTGTAATATCGTTATACCGAATGGTAATATCGGTAACAATGAGAATGGGAAGAACGACGCTATCAATTATGAGAAATGTCTCCAAGAGAAGGAGCAGGCGGTGGAGGACGAAGACGAAGACGAAGACGAAGACGAAGACGAAGACGAAGACGAAGACGAAGACGAAGACGAAGACGAAGACGAAGACGAAGACGAAGACGAAGACGAAGACGAAGGCGAAGGCGAAGACGAAGGCCTTAATGAAAATAACTGCGACGACGATGAGGAGGAGGAGGAGGAGGAGGAGGATGATGTGGAAGACAAGAAGAATGAGAAAGATAAGGATGAAAGATGCGGAAGGATAAATGAAACCGTTTCGGAAAGTGCACGAGTTTGTGGTAGTAATGGTGGTGGAGATTATAGAGGGAAAAAGTGGAGAAAAGATGGAAGAGAGGAGGGATTGTTGGCAAAGGGAATGAACACGGATCCGATTGTTGGACATGAGTACGGGGAGGAAGGTCTGTTGTTGGATGACGAGCTCGATCTAGAATCGAAACCTGAACGATCATCACATGGTGATCCATTCGTGGTTGATGATCGATGCGGTTTAAACTCCAAGCTAATCGACGATCTTTATTCGTTGGAAGGAAAGAATAAGATGGTAAAAATTTCGAAGGATGCATCGTGGAAAGTGGAAGAGGATGTTTTCGCTTTAGCTCCGTTTCCTAGATCAGTCAGCGGGTGCTCAACGAAGATCGCTGAGTATCAGGAGAGCGATGAATTGAGAAATATTCCCTCCGCCGGTACTTTCTATTTAACTAGTAGTAGGCCGGTGATATCCGAGCAAGCGAATCTGTTCCGAAAATACGGAAATTGCACGAGTCTTACGAACAAGGAGAATCACACGGACGTTCGATCATTATCGAACAGACAAAGGCAACGATCTTCTTGCGTGACGGCGATCTCAAGCGTTCACAACCACCGAATCAGCTCTGAGTCGCAGAGAAACGAGATAACGGACGATGACCGGCAAACAAAGCAGAATGAAAAAGATGGAGATGTAGCAGAGGTAAGACTAGTGGAAGGAGGAGGAGGGAATAAGGAAGAAGAGGGAAATAGGGAGAAGGATTTATTTGGCTCCTCGCCGTTTTGTCCGAGCGGTTTCGCAACAAATCTCTTCGATTTGGATACTCTGCGAAGAAGAATTGCGGAGGATGGATCGCAAAGGTTGGCTACGACGATATTTGCGACGCGGCAGACAAAATCGTACGATGATCGACCAGCCTTGTCACATCCACAACAGCCAGCTGGTGCTGCCTCCTTGACCACGAGAAAGCCAACGGTATCAAATACAAAGTTTATCGGTGTAGCATCGGAAGATCTTTTCGGTTCCATTCCGTTCGATGAATTCGCGTCGCTTCAGTTAAACAAGCAAAACAGCAGGCCCAAGACTTGCGTTCCACTTTCCCAAGCATCGTCGTCGTCGTCGTCGTCGTCGTCGTCGTCGTCGTCGTCGTCGTCGTCGCAGTCGCAGTCGCGGTCGCAACCGTCACCGTCAACTTTCATCGTTGGCGACGACCTGAACGCGATGCTATTGCATAAAGCGCAATCACCGGGTACCGTTGCTCGAGCAATGTCCACAGGTTTGCAAGGTGTACACACGATGGAACCGGTTCAGTATGCTGCTCGAATTTCGATTGAAACTGTAAATAGTGCACCGAAGATAGACGTTAAGCCGGACGTGGTTTCGGCCATATTCCCGAAACCGTTGCTAGTTACCGAGGAACATCACGTGCCAAGGCAGAAAAAGGATAAATTTTGCATGTCCGAGAAATGCAACAAGTATCATTTAATGGATGAGAAAGACGACGACGGGGGCAAGAGCAGTGCCGGTATCGAGGTAGTTGTTGTACCGTTGTCCTCGTCATCGTCTTCGTCGTCGTCGTCGTTGCAGCTATCTCACAAGACCAAGTCGTTGACGACTTGTTATAAGAAAAGTCCGAGAACGAAAAAATATTCAGCCGTTAGCACCGCCGCGGGCTTCAGCAACATGAGTTTCGAGGATTTTCCAAGCGACGAGAACGAGGAGAAACAGATGAGAAATACGAAAATCGCGGCGCCGTTCGAGGTGATTAGGGAACCCGAGAAACGATTCGGATCGTTGAAAAGAAGGAGCAATCCGTTTACCTGAGAAACGAGAACTACGTGACGAGATACACTAGTCAGATTGAATCGCGATCATCCGGAACGAACGCGTCCAACTATTATAAACAGGCATCGACACGTGATTAAGCGTCCGTCAGGGAAATCGGCTTCTATCACGTCGATTGATGAATCGATTATCACCCAGCATCACCACCGGCTTATAACCTGCATCGATCGTGTATCGTACATAACAATTCGCATTTCATCGATATTTACTCGTCTTCTAATACTGACCAAACAGGTCATCCGAATGCGTTGCTTACTTTGCTGATTTCAATCGAAACACGTTATCTCGAACGAACGAACGAACGAACGAACGAACGAACGAACGAAAGCAGGAAAAAGAAAGAAAGAAAGAAGGAAAGAACAAAATTTGCAGTGGCTGGGAAAGCTTGTGTATTTATCCTATTGTTATAGCTAAGCATTTTCGCTGCGTTTATGTACTTTGAAATTTACAAATTTCTACTACTGCCGTCGTCGTCGTTGTCATCATCATCATCATCATCATCATCATCATCATCATCATCATCATCATCATCATCATCATGTGTCCATTCTTATAAGCGGTATAATTTTTCTAAGAAGCCAAAAAAAAAAAAAGAAAACAGCGAATACACGCATGCCAGATGAATTGTTTGTATCTCGCGTGGTGTGTCAATTTTAAATGTACGTAGCATCGAGGAAAAGACATACTTGACGTTAACACCCATACAGATATAACAGAATTGTACAAGAATATTTGATTTCGGTGATTTTAGTTGATCGCCAACATTTCGCTCGTTAGACGGAAATTGGTCTGTGAATTGGCAACACGATGTTGCGAGTATTTGAACGATAGTAGTACTGTCGTTATTGCTATGCTATCGTATAACATAATTAATATAGCATACCTGATCCGTAATAAGCAACTGGCCGATCCCGAGCGAGTTACAGCATGCGCGTTCAAGGTGATTTAGAAACTGACTAATAAATATCTCGGACGGTCTCGCCGAAACAAAGACAAATGTTGCTTCTTCTCCCTGTATCTCTCGAATATCATCGATTCATGTTGATGATTAATAATCACATGATTGAGATTAAGAGAAACGATCTCGTAAGCAAGTTTCGAAAAGAAGAAAAAAGCGACGAGAAAACAACACGCATTCTACCGATAAGGCGTCGTTACAATTCGGCAGCTTTACATTTCTCGTAACGCGTTTACTCGACGATCGTCTTTCTTGATACTTTTATACATCGAGCGACCAGGATAAGCAATTTATTGCAGAAAACGGCAGGTCAGGATGGGAAGAATGCAAAGGGGAAGAGAGAAGAACCTCTACTTTCGTATGCTTCACGAGATACGAGTTATAGAAAGAAGAATAGAAGGGATAGAATATGCATAGGAAGAAGAACATACGTCTGTATACGCCATTTTTCACCATCAATTTTTCTCTCGCTTTTACACCACCTCGGAAGAAAAAGTACTAGAATAAATAAAGGAATAAATTTGAAGGGTAAAGGGAATGGGGGAAGGGAAAGAAAGACGAAGAAGCGGAACGGAGAATAAGAAAACAAGACAATATCGTAAAGATGATATACATATGTATATGTAATTACTAATATACGGATACGAATTGATGCATACATGTATGGATGCGTATTATAGGAGTGCATGCACATTTATGTAACGCAAGTGTAGATATTAGCTAATAATACATATAATTAGGTGCCTTCCTCTTTGCCAAGTAGTAACATATAAAGCTTACGTTTTTTCCTCTTCTCTAGCGTAGAAATGATAACGTTATAAGATAAATCAAGTCAATTGAATCGGTTACGTATGTATAAGAATTATGAACCCTCCGTTACATGTGTGCTTACAGATTGCACGCCCACGGACTCGCACTACGCAAACCTTCACTCCTTCCTCTTCTATTTATTTTTCTTCTATCTTTTCTCTATTTTTTAATTACTTGGAGGACACAGTCCACGTAACAGAGGGTTAACGTAAAGAATTTCTTTCGATTCAGTTCCTATGCGTATGTATGTACGTAGCTAAGGAAGAGAGAATAGAAGATTTTTCCGAATCTTTCTTTCCGGTTAACAAGCAAGATAAAATATAGCTACTGAGGTAGCGATCGAAAGTAACTTGTAACGCTCCTTAGTACAATTTCAATGTAATTAGACATCTAAGAATCGCCAACTCGTTTCGATATAATACATTATTTGCAGTATTTTTATTTAGGATATAAAATAGGTGCTTCAGCAGGGTTTATTTGTATGGTACAAAATATACAGATTAAGATTTATCGTTACAAACGCAACACATTCAGCAATGCTGCTGATAGTATTACGTAACTGTAGTATATACGCAACAATGCACATTCCGTACTGTTTGTTCGTTAATTGCATGCGTGTGTACGCACGCGCTTTAAGCTAAGTTTGAAATCTGTATAGAAGAAATTTGTGTAAAGTATATTTTCGAAACTTAGTTAAATGTTGTCACTGCCCCCGACATCGGACATTGCAGTATTAATTTGTCGGTGTTGAACGAAGCCGCAGTATTCTCTCCCCATCCTTATCCCTGCCCTCTCCGATGTCGCCTCACGTTCCGTATCCGTGCAGGTGTGGGCGTGGGTGTTGGAGCGAACGCCTTACAGTTACGGTGATAAAAATTACGTTTTTAATCTGCTAATACGCCCGTCGTCATCTCACTGGAAGAAATTTTTCCATGGTGCGCGCATTGTCACGGCACACCCGCCACGTGTGTATGCATGTGAGAAAAGAAACGTAGTAAGAAAAAACGTACTCTACTGCGAGTTTTCAAGAATGCGTGATAGCGGGGCGTTATCCTGATCACCACGTGTATTTACCGCTTATAACTTCTTCAAAGTTGAAACAGTTTGGAAAAGAACAACCCGTAACGGTGTGCATTATAGTCGTTACGTGTTATTCAAGCATCCTATGGTGTATGTATGTGTAAGTGTTAAAATAAAGAATGACAAAGATTGGGAAGAAAATGTCGTCGTCAAGTATATAAGGATAGCAGTAAGTTGGTTACCGTTCGATCAGTTGGATCGATTTGATAAAATAACTCCTCAATAGCAACAGAATCTTTTACGTGCCATAATGACGTTGAGCAGAAAGGCAAAAGTCCAAGTTAAGAAATTGAACCAGGTCGAAATGATAGCCAATCGAAGAGCGAAACCGGTGTCAATTTCTTTACCGTGTTTCCAGTTACTCACATCGGACTGTAAATAATCCATAAAATCAAAGATTGCTCCGCAGGAAAGTCTATCATGGAGAACCTGCGGAAAGGAGAATGCAGTTGTGCCGTGTATGCGATTATGTGTTCTGGTCTGGTCTGTTTGCGGCAAGCATGGGCTATATTAGGTATACCAACCTCGGCTTCGCGACCGGCCGAACCAAGAACTTGTATCAGTCTTTTCCTATATTGTTCGCAAGTTTTGTAGTAACCATCGGTTGTAACCACTGCGTGAGCCAAAGACAAGCAGCAAAGTAAAATTGTGAGGAACACGCCAGGTATCCACTGTTTGTACGGTGTTCTCCTTTTAGGTCTGATCACGAGCATAGTTGGTACCGCCGCCGGCGTAATTGTCGTTGTCGTTGTCGCTGTCGCTGTTGTTGGTGCTACATCACCGATGTTCAAGTTTCTGCGCAGAAAGAAACGCGTTCGCGCCAACAAACTAGAGACGCTCCTACTTGTTGTGTTGCACGAACGTTGACGCGCGTGTACTTCTACTGGCATCAACAACAACAACAACAACAACAACAACAACATCACCACCACTACCACCACCACCACCACCAGATCGTGCGATAATGTTTTAAAGATTTTCAAACGATGCGACCTCCTCGCCTGCCTCACCTTCTCACATCCTCGTAGATTCGTACAGGCTCCTCTAAATTTCTATCGATGCAACATCTGTATCCGTGGTATCCGCCGAAACATAAACCAATCAGAATCGCTGGGATCAAGCCGTATACTCCGAAATGGCAGAGCTTCACGTCACCTCCCATAAAGGTGCTGAAGGTATTGATACCGTATAATATGCAACCACAGTCGATGCTAATGCAAACGTCCAAGCTCCATGCCCAATACTGCCAAACGGTGACCAAACAGGTTAACGACGTTACCGACAGAATCGCAGAGGATATGTACAACACGCTTAGGATGCGCTCTGCTTGCTCTTCGTTCATCCTATTTCTTTTTATAAGAGGCTAATTCCACCTGAGAACCAATACAAATATTGCACCAAATAACGTAAATACACATTTTGTTAGTCATTAATCGTAATAGTTCGAGATGCATTTAACGCCTGATCAAAATCGCTAATTATAGAATTACCATCTCGTAATGTATACAGTCTTATACAGTCTTCTCGTCTGCTGTTTCCGTTCGCATCCTAATATACGAGAAAATGAGAAATCTTGATACTTGCTACGTATCGTTATATCACCGGACAGAGAAAAGAATAGAAGTGAAGCGAGAATAAAGCTGAGCCAATATGATGAAGAAAAAAGTAACGTTTCGAACAACGATACGTAGGAGAAAAACGTGACACTTACAATACCACGAAAAATACCGCAAGGATAAAAAAAGACTAAAATTGTTACTTTGAAGAAACTTACTTTTCCGATTAACCGATTCATCCATGGTTTCTCAAATTTTCATTTTTCAATAACTCATGAAAATTCCAATTCAAACTCAAATGATCCTATACATAGTATACGATTTTATTAAATAGATAAATTTTCTTAGCGATCATTAGTTGCAGTTTCTTTTTCTCATTGGTATCTCGCTTCAAACTGTTTGCGACAATTATCGTCAAATTTTGATATCGGTATGTTTCGTTACAACTCTATCCATTATTATGACCACTTATCACCAACACAACCACTAAATCACATTCGTGGTTTTGCCCATGGTCAAATATTTTTGCCATGTGAACGGCAAAAACCCTTAATAACGATCCCTTATCCCGATTTCATAAGTTGATCATACACGTACATATTTTAAAACGTTACACATTACGAACCCCCCCCCCGTCACCCTCTCTCTAATGATTGCTAATTCGTTCTGAAAATATTCCTTCCCAATTCGTACAATACTCGTATATTTTTTGCTTAAGTATTACTTTCCTACCGTCTCGAGAAGAACCTTGGCACATCGAGAAGAATTTATGGATCCGTGAATACTGCGTGTTTCTTGTTCAAATAAGCCGTAGATTTTCTTTAATACACGTCGAGGTAATATCTATATGAATGCCAAGTATCGTGCTGAGTAAAGATCAAATATTTACTCTTTGCAATAAATGTTTATGTCTCGCAAAATATATTTAACTGGCATTAGAGACTGCTGGTATAGATATTCCAATGGCTTGATACTCTGACGAAAAACGAAAAACGAACACACCGAGTTTTCGTTAGGTCTTTTTCTGTATCTTTGTACTATCTGTTTTTCACCATGAGCCCAACACTATACGTCTATATTGCATACGTACGTATATTACATGCGCGCTCCCAGCGTTATTAAGTACAAACGATACACCTTTTCCTATCCACGACACGCTGTAATAAAGCTTCAATTCCTTCAACTAATGTCAAACGAATGATCTCAATAATCCAACCTTTCCTTTCCAGTTTCTCTCCTTTTTTTCCAACTTTTCCCCTTTTTGCGTCCCTCAACTATTTCTTTGTTCTTTCTTTTTCGTTTTCTCACTCGTTCTCTCAATATGTACAAGCCAGATCAAAACTCGCACGATCGATGTGAAATGCGACAATACTTAACAGCAGGGAGATAAACTTTGATAAGATTATCGTGCATTACTGACACACACGCGCACTCATACACACACACGATAATAATCCAGGTGTCACAAACTATACATCCTCTTAGTGTACTGTTGATACGTGTAGAAATCTAAAACTAGAAACTAAGATGAAATAATTGTCAGCTTTAATTAATACAGAACAATACGACGACATACGGCACACGACATATGTACACACACGGGCACACGCGCGTGTATAGATAGTGCTGCACAATTTTCTTTATACAGGTATATTGCAGGTTCACTTCATTTATTTCGTTAAATTGTTCATGTTCTAGAGAATCGTCCGAAATGATTTTCTCTATGTACAAAACTAATCGAGTTCGTTGTGTACATTTCTAGTTCTAGCACGGAATCTCGTTTCTCCGATTTTATTTTGATCTGTAAAAAAGTAAAGAAAAACACGTGAGAATGATACATGATCGATAACACTTTACGTCGTATTATGATATATGTGACCAAGATATATCTATAAGAAAACTTTTTATCCAAGATGTATATCGTGGCAAAATATGTTTCACTTCGTCAATTTATTATTTTATTTCTACCTTTCCTTTCCAACGACCTTTCGTTTTCATTTTTGCTCCAATATTATACTTCGCGCTTTAACAAATTCTGTATTCAATGAAAGAAATTACACATTTCTGGAGAACGGAACACGGTAAGAATTTAGCACAAAACAAATTGTCAAGGCAACTGTGATGTTGTTAAATTAGCAGATAGAGAAAGAAGGGGGGAAGGGGGCTTGAAGCACTTACAAAGTAGATCACTAACAGCAAACATACCCCTTATATGTAAGAGCTTAAGTTACCGAACATCTATATAGAATATTTCCTCTAGTGAAGAATTACCATTGATAGATTCAGGACAAAGTATATTATTTGTATCTTAATATATAAAGATAGTATAAGAATGTAAATATATTCAAACTATAATACAAGCCTATTAAATGACCAAACGATAAAGTTGTCTGGTAGTTTGGTAAAGAGCATGAAAAGCGATCGTCGTCGCCAACAAGTTTGCAATATTACACTGTAAACGATGAAACATATCAACTTAGGTACCTTAAGATGCATTTATCGAAACTGGGAACGATAAACAGTAAAGTCAATCACCTGTGACAATCTTTGTAAAAGAAATCATTCATGTGTAATTTGTATTAACTACAGAATGTAAACGCATGTCGTTTTCATGGTTTATACTACTAAGAAATGTAATGAACTATAACAGAAATATTCGGGAATACTCAAGATAGAGGTTTTGCTGGTATACACACAATAGTCTTACGCCGGGTTTATGTTGCGATGCCTCAATTCCAGTAAGGTTTCTCGATTATTCCATAAGCAATATATCGATGCTATTCCTAATCCGATACAACCACCTAATGCGCATTTTTTCAATCCAGCTGAAAAAATTAATCAATCGTTTATACAATTTCGCTACACAGTTCATACTTATGTGCATTCCTTATATCAGTTATACGACATACTTGTAGATTTGAATAATATGCCAGTCCCTGTTGCTGCTACTAAAGTATTCAAAGAATCATCTGTACCTCTAGCCCAGGATAAAAGTACACCAAATCCACTATACATTACAGATACTATTCCAAATGTGTTTGCTAATGAAGAGCCACTTTTCATGACATGATTAATTAATCTGCGAAACGAGAATTATATACTCTTTGATGACATCCACGTATGCACACACAAAATTATATATATTGTTGTGTGCTGCACAAAGTTCTTTCGCTACATACTGAGTTCTTCTAAGCTTGCCAGTTTGACCAGCTAAGGATGTTGCTTTAATTCCTCTATATAATCCACTCGTACCTCCAATACCAGCACCTATTATACATGCTGCACCGATTTGACTAAAGGCCAATTCAAATCGGCCTCTTTGCTTTGTAGCCCCTTCCGGAAATATATACTCTGGTTGACTCGGAGGAAGATACGCAGGATCAAAGTTTAAATATGGACTGAGTTGTATTAATCCTGGCTGCGACATAACTGACAAATACAATGTAAAATATTACACACTGTTATCCATCATGATGATAAACTTCTGAATATCTAATCATGTGCTCCTTGTATAGTTATATACTACTTGTAATTCTACAAAATTATTTATACGTAATAGATGCACATTTGCTATCCAAATTTCACTTTTATCAAACAATTCTGTTGCACTTCAGCTATATATCTTTTAAACTACAGTTTGCATAAAATGTTATTAAAATTAGGTTGCTCAAAAATATGCATCTTTTATGAAATTTTGTAAAATGTTTAATTGTTTATTTGTTTCTTGTTCTTTTCGTTTCAATAATCAGTTATACATTTTCAATTGAAATATTTCTCCAAATTTGTGTATTTATAAAATGTATATCACATAAAGTTACAGAATTGTAGAAAATAGCAATCTTTCTGTTTATTCAAACTATCTTCGGCGATATTAATGGAAACGACGAAAACATAGTCTCATACCACGTATGTATATTAAGGTTATGCATTCGAATTTAGTAAATTACACCCAATTATTATATTACATCAGTCAATGCGTTCGACGTTGTATATTTTTACCAACATAATTATAAATTATAACGATGTAACATAACGTTGTAATATAATAATCATTATGGTACTCGTTTATTTACAACGTGCTTAGACTTCCTAATAAACACATCGTAAAATTATAACTTACCCGGTACATTTAAATTACCATATTTTCCACTATTCGTTGTACCTTTTGCATTTTCATCATGTAAATCTATCATTTTCGACGTTAGACCGATCAAATTTTATTTTATTCTATTATTTCCTAGCAGATACTGACGAGTAAATAGAGGCCGCATTCACACGCTTGTTTCCAAAAATTCGTCTAAACCGCAAACTCTGAACTTGTCGCGAGTCGCTTGCTCTGGTTCAAATTTTTGCCACGTTCATTCCAGTAATTATAATCAAAACTCAAGAGATTCGAGATACCGCGAAATATATCTATAAAGCCACGTTTTTGAAAGAATTATACCTGTACAAAGTTCATAAAATACTATTTTTCGAATCGAAAAAATAACACGAAGAAAGAATAGTATTTTTTATTTTTTCACTTCTGAATTATATATGTACATACTTATATATGTATATATTCTTTTTTTTTTAAGCACAATCTTTAAGCACGATGTATACAGTCGTTGTCATGCATCGTAAAAAAACAAATTCAGCAGTTTATAAGAGTTACACACGGAATATAAGCTATAGAATATAAATAACATTTTGATAATAATCCTATTGTAAATAGTTCCTATATCTCGTAATAATTCATTATTTTACTTTATACATGCGTTAATTATACAGTGGAAATGTGTTTCTAACGTTGTTTTTATTAACTAGAAAGAAGAGTTTAGAATTAATTCGACAAAATATAGTGTACAAAATCTACCAAGATGTAGCACATGATAAAATGATGAATATTATAAACATCAACGAATAAGTATTTAAACAATAACAGAAGAACGGAATAAACGAATCACAAAATGAAAAGCGAGATGCGCTTATGGTGTAAAAGAAAAGATAATTTTACTGCTGCGATATGCCTTAGTGACATATATGTATGTCATGTGCAGGCCTGCGCAATTTTTAGAATGACATATGTATGTATGATATGGAAATATATACAAGGAAATATTAAGAAGAAACGATTTGACTCGGAACTACGTGAAATGAATATCGATCTCCTTTCTTCTTTCTAAAACTTTCAGATCACCAATGTCAGTCTGCTAACCCAAAAAGTGGAGGGGAAAGGCATTCAGGACACAGGCGACCTCTGTTGTGGCAACGGCCGCGCAACAAACTATGCATTGCATTGCTGTCGAAAATGGCGTCAAGCTCGGAGCTGCCAGAATATTCGTCCCCAGCAAAACGACGAAAAGTCGACGGCATCGGTTACAACGGTACCAGTAGTGTGAAACCTGATTTCCAAGATTGCGAGACGTCGCATAATACCCCAAATGAAGATCTCGAAGGTATTTTGACAAAAATATGGTCGATTCATTAATAAAATTTGCAAGATTACAAGATGGCGGTTAAGAAGGTATTCGCTTGTCTTGCGTGATTATTGTTCGTTCGTAGTTGATGGAAGATGAGAGCCGCCATGACAGTTTCTGTATATGTAGCGTATCTTGCTTCGCAGTTCAATTTTAATCTTACCGAGTATATAATTGCGATGTTATTGAATTTTAAACGTTATAAAATAAAATTATTTCCTAATCTGTTTGTTTCGAACTGCTCTCCCAACACGTTCTTTTTAGGAATGACCATTTAAGTGAAAATTCACAGTGAGAATAGAGAAACTAGTGTCAGTGCAATACACAAAGTTGTACAGTACATTCGATGGACGTTCACAGATGGCACGGTTTTCATTTAAACGAATGGTAGGCGCTTTTGTTCGCGATTCAATGTCATCCCGCCACTTTTAAAATTTTTCAAAACTGTTTCGATGAAATTTGTTTTAAATATGTTTTGATAAATGCGAATATCGTTTCCTATATTATTCTGCGTAGCCAGTGTACGATATATTTGAAAAAGTGTTTTGCTATGGTGAAATTAAATAATAAAATGAAAAAAACAGGAAGATATGAAAAGAAAAAGAGAGAGAAAGGGGGGGAGAGAGAGAGAGAGAGAGAACGAAAAAAAGTACGATTTTTAATATTAAATAGTTTTTTTAATAATTTTTGATTATTTGTATACAGTGAGGAAATAAAGTGATGAACAGTTCATGCTATTTCAGAGACTTATGGAGGAGACAGTGGATTCAATGAATTAAGTGATGAATCTAAATCAGCTTCTGTATCTCCTGATGTTACAAACTTAATGACTATGCCATCTCGAATTGATTCAACTAGTGACGACACTGGTTGTCTGTGAGTTTTTTTCATTTATCATTATTAATCCTTTATGGTTTATGGTTATTGATATCTGTGTACTGGCAAACTGGTGTTAGTTGTTGTGTACAAGCTGTCTCATGGTTTATAACATTACAGAATCGACACTGCAGATGAGAAGGATGAAGTGTCATCGACAGTTTCAAATTTGTCTGACTTATCTGGTCTTTCTGACTTCTCTGGGGAGGGAGATATCAGCCATCAGTGGAGGAACGCATCTTCGTGGGTTCAAAAACAAATGTTAATAGGTGCAGATCCTCGAGATCTTTTACATCACCTTCTCATGGATTCTACTCAGATACCAGAGCAGGTTGATGATCTGACCCTTTGGAAAGTAAGTGTCAAGCATATTTGACCAATTTCACAATACATGCATATATGCATGTTGAGAGTGTTATCCTTTGAATAGATATTATTTGACACACTTTATTTGGGTCTATTTCAGATTATAATAAATATGATGTCGGAACCACCACGCCGACAAAAATTAAGGCACATAAATACTTTAACAGATGTTGTTAGGCTGATACGTAATAGTAACCGAATCATAGTATTAACTGGGGCAGGTGTAAAAAAAAATTTTCGAAGTAGGGATGGTATTTACTCCAGATTAGCTCAAGATTTCCCAGATTTACCAGATCCACAGGTGATACAGCTTTAGGACTGAATGTATTGTATTTAGTTTATTTAGAAATTTTTTATAGATCCATCTTCTATAATGATCGTCTTTTACACCAGGCCATGTTCGATATTAACTATTTCGGCCAAGATCCGAGACCATTTTACAAATTTGCACGAGAAATTTATCCAGGGCAATTTAAACCGAGTCCTTGCCATAGGTTTATAAAAATGCTTGATAAACAGAAGAAACTTTTAAGAAATTATTCACAAAATATCGATACGTTGGAACAAGTGGCTGGCATTGAAAATGTAATTGAGTGTCATGGTAAGTGACATGTGGACGAAAATGAAACGTTCATTGATAGTAGTAGTAGTAGTAGTAGTAGTAGTAGTAGTAGTAGTATTGTATGTCAGATGAAAACATTAACATGATTTTGTGGCTGTTACAAATACCTTTTATATTCAAGGCTCCTTCGCGTCTGCATCGTGTACGAGGTGTAAATATCAAGTAAAAGCTGACGATATTAGAGAAGACATATTTGCTCAGAGAATACCATTGTGTCCGAAGTGCAGAGTTAATAATTTGCCTCCTATATCAGAGCTAAATCCAAATGAAAGTTACAAAGGTAATTATAATAAATTTAAACAGTTCGATAACATTGTCTGATGTTATACATGGTCATTTTGTGGTTTTTCATAATGACTTGCCAATTTCTATGATATGGAAAAGCTAGCTCGCTAGTGATAGTTTTTGCTATTAGTCTTTCCTGTAGCGCGTCGCGAGTCGGTGGCCATGAGAGAACATTATCTGCTCTTTACGGAATACGTCTTCGCTAAATGATGTTGCCGTTTACTCTGATCTACGCATAAGTTGATACATCAATTGTAACTACGAGTAAAACCTTGGCTTGTTTATAAGCATATAAGGTAAACTTTTAACAATTGCATCAAGTTACCCGTGCGTGCTGTTTAGCCAGATTTGCGGGGTACAATTTGCGATACAGTTCGCCGTTCAAACATTTCTAAAATTAACGAAACACGATGTGTTTACGATCGAGTAAAACAGACAGCGCAATCTGCTACGGCTAACGGAAAACGTTGTAAGAGGACAGTTTTGTCATAAGAAATTTGTATAATTTACAGATTTAGTGACGCAGGGCATAATGAAGCCAGATATCGTTTTCTTTGGCGAGGGACTTCCGGATGCTTTTCATGATGCAATGGCCAAAGACAAAGATGACTGTGATCTTTTAATCGTAATCGGATCATCGTTAAAAGTCCGGCCGGTAGCATTAATACCTTCCTCTATTCCGTCTCACGTCCCACAGATCCTCATTAATCGCGAATCGCTGCCACATTTGAAGTTTGACGTTGAACTCTTAGGAGACGGCGATATTATTATAAATCAGTTGTGTCATTTGTAAGTAACAATCATCTATAATTGCACTGCGCGCACACACACACACGCACACACACACACACACGAGAGAGAGAGAGCTTCGTGTACATATGCATAATACATGTGTTCGTTCGGACAGAATGGAAGATTGTTACAAGGAAGTATGTTGGAACGATGCAATCCTGAAGGAAACAACGCAACTTTTACCGGTGCGTTACTTATCGGATGATACCTGGGAGCAAAGTCAAGACACAATATCCAATGCCATGTTATCCCGAGATAATATGGAGACTGATTTTAAACAGCATGATTCGTGTTCCGTTGGAAGTCAAGACAGTCTTATGATTCATAAGAATATCGTAGAAGAACACCTAGTAAATGTGAACAGGTGTGTTTCACCTTTCTGTAGCGATCATACGAACAGCATCGAAGAGAAATGCAGCTTGTTGGGGGAGAGTCCTAAAAGAAGGTTGGGCGAGTCAAGCGCGGAAAGCAGTCCGAAAAGAATGAACTTTGGCAGCAGTTGCGCATCGTTTAACGACTTTAACTCATGCTCTTCGAAAACAGAGACTATTTCGGATGGTTCACTCGACTATAAATATCATGCCGTTCCTATGGAATCAACGTCGAAAGATAGTGGGAAAATTTACAATTTAGAAGAATGTCAAGTATTTCCAAGATTAATAGAAATCTCTTCGGGAAACGCAGTATTAGACTCTACGTTAAAGGCAAATCATTGTGTGGAAGACAGAGTGTCGTTAAAAATGAACGACAATTGCCCAGGAGTGGATAGCATTGAAGTTGACAAAATGAATTTTAAACCGAGACAAGTTTCTATCGATTCCGCTTTAGATTCCGGTATAGGCGATAGTTGCAATAGTGTCGACAGTCGAGAAGGGAAAAATAATAAAGAAGAATTAAAAAGTAGAAGATTGGATCAACACTGTTGGCAGCCCAAAGTACGAAAAAGTCTTGCTGTCAGATTACCAGGTATATTTGTTTAATTTTTCTTTAATCTTCCTTTTCTTTCTTGTTACGATAAAACAACTACTATTACAACTGCAACAACACAATAACATTACTATTACTATTACGAATCTGAAAATACATTTTAATTGTTTCTTTGCAGAAAACTCTTACTATCAGTTAGCACTTGGAAAGTACATTTTTCCGGGAGCAGAAGTATATTCGGATCCTGAAGAATATGATCATTGTTCAGTTTCCATAAACTCCGAAAGTTCGGACAGTGACAGTGATTCTTCGTCTGTGGAGGAAGATGATGGTGAAGAGGAGGAGGAGGACGAGGAGGAGGAGGATGACGAGGAGCAGGAACAGAGGGATGAGGATGGAGAAGAAGAAGCGGAGGAGGAGGAGAACGATGACGAGGAGGATGACGAGGAGGAGGAACAGAGGGATGAGGATGCAGGGGAGCATACGGAGAAGCTAAACGCAACTATGGAGGTGAAGAGGCAGGATGAAGTAGAAAAAAAAGAAGCTATTGACATGATGAAGGAA